ACTATTCGGTGGCGATCGTGGGGGTCGGGGGCGTGGGTTCGGTGACCGCCGAGATGCTGACCCGCTGTGGGATCGGAAAGCTGTTGCTGTTTGACTACGACCGGGTCGAGTTGGCCAACATGAACCGGCTGTTCTTCCAGCCCCACCAGTCGGGTATGTCTAAAGTGATGGCCGCTCACCACACGCTCGCCGCCATCAACCCGGACGTCCAGTTCGAGACCTATAACTACAACATGACGACTGTCGACAACTTCACCGACTTCTTGACGCGCGTCCAGTCGGGAGGAATCGGCGGACGACCCGTGGATTTGGTGCTCAGTTGTGTCGACAACTTCGAGGCGCGAATGGCCATCAATACCGCGTGCAATGAGTTGAGCCAAACGTGGTTCGAGTCGGGCGTCAGCGAGAACGCCGTCTCCGGACACATACAGTTCCTCACTCCCGGACAGACCGCCTGTTTCGCTGTGAGTCGCGACATATAATTGCAACCAAAATGTCGATTAAGTTATTAATGTTTGTGTGGTTTGACTGCTAGTGTGCGCCGCCATTAGTGGTCGCCTCTAATATCGACGAGAAGACGCTGAAGAAGGACGGCGTGTGTGCGGCGAGTCTGCCCACGACTATGGGTATTGTCGCCGGTTTTCTCGTGCAAAACGCACTCAAATATCTATTAAAGTTCGGATCCGTTACCCATTACTTGGGTTACAACGCGTTGGAGGACTTCTTCCCGACGATGTCGATGAAGCCACTATGGGTATTGTCGCCGGTTTTCTCGTGCAAAACGCACTCAAATATCTATTAAAGTTCGGATCCGTTACCCATTACTTGGGTTACAACGCGTTGGAGGACTTCTTCCCGACGATGTCGATGAAGCCGAACCCCAACTGCGACGACAGCTTCTGTATTAAGAGACAGAAGGAGTTCAACGCTTTGCCAAAGGCTGAGACCGTAGTCGTCGTTGAGGCAGAGGTTGTTCACGAAGACAACGATTGGGGGATTAGTGTTGTGGACGAGTCGGCGCCGGTAGAGGAGAACCTTCAGATCGGTTCGGGACTCAGACTCGCCTACAGTCACGGCAACAGCCAAACAGCCGCCGCCGACAACATTCCAGCCGACAGTCCGGCCGACGAACAGTCATTAGAGGAGTTAATGAGACAAATGAAACAATTGTGAAAGGGTTTCATAATTTTATTGAATTTTTTTTATACAATATGTCGTACAATACAGTACATGAGTATAAATAGGAAAATTTCTACTGCTTTTTGTATATTATTTTTGATTGAAATATAATTAATTTAACGTAAAATTAAATTTTATGAATTTTATTATAAATTTATTTTTCCAAATAAAGTGTTCATTAAAAGGGAAAGTTGTTGAATGAGAAGCCGTGTTGTCCCGAGTGGTTGCCTCCCTGGGAAAAG